ATTCTTCTGTGTCTGCCAATTCCTTTCGATACAATTACTCAGTATATTCTTTCCATCTTCTTTTGATACCTCCTGGATCATTTAATACTCTGCCTAAAGCATCCTTGATTATAGCAACTCGAGGTTTGAATTTGTTCTTCAGTTCCTTGAGCTTAAGAAATGCTGAGCGAGTTCGACACTGTTCAATAATTTCCACTTTCTGAAAGTTATTATGTGCCATCGAGTCACCTGTGACTCACAGCAACCCTATGTATGTTAAGTGCTGTCAAGTTTAAGGCGACTCATATCGACCCTATAAAGTCCTTGACAGTTGCATGACTTTCATCCTTTCTCTAAGTCCGTAGGGTTTCCCGAGGCAAGCTATTTACAGAAGTGGATGCCATTCCTGCATCCAAGCTTGTTTTAGCCAGGGAGTGCCACCAAACACTGTCCACCATGGATAACCATTATCGTATTTGACACGTCAGTGTCAGGTGTTCAGCTTCACAGCGACCACAGGTTGCCTCTGTACGGCAAGTGGACACACCAAGGCTATACGACCTAGAAGAATGTATCACCAAAAACAATTAAAGACAGGCCTTAGGGCCGCAGATTAGAGTCACCCACCTGTGGCTTGGCAGCATTGCTTTCGGTCCAATAGGCCAACTGGTCTCTATGTTGTTAAGTGTTGTCAAGTCCTGGGCGACTCATAGTGACCCTATGAATGAAAGTCCTCAACAGCTGCGTGACTTTCATCCTTTCTCCATGTTCGTAGGGTTTCCCGAGGTAAGCTATTTACGGAAGTGGATGCCACTCCTGCTCCCAAGCTTGTTTTAGCTGGGGAGCGCCACCAAACACTGTCCACCATGGGTAACCATTATAATAATGCTTACTAACCTTATGTATAGCAGCTCTAAACTCTGCTCTATCCTGAGTCAATCTGTCTCCAACAGACCTATGCCTATTTTTCCAGTCACCAAATCAATTCACCTCTCCTAGGTCTTCCTCTCCTGTAATTTCTTTCTCTCTTCCAAGCATGATGTCCTCCAATGACTGGTCCTGCCTGGTTAAATGCCCAAAGTATGAGAGACAGAGGTTCAAAATCCTGCCTCCACAGAACAGCCTGGTTTCACCCTCTCCAGGATAAATTGGTTTGTTCTGGTAGTCCATGGTTATGTTCCAATACTCTCGTCCAGCACCACAGCTCAAAGGCATCAATTCTTCTGTCAACCTTAGACACTGTCCAGCTCTCTGATGCATAGCAAGTAATAGCAAAGACCATGGCCGGGTTCAGGAACAAATTAAGTTTCCAGATTGACAGCACTGCTCTTTAGTACTTTGGAGAGATGCCTGACAGCAGCTTTCCCCAGAGAAATTGGTCTTTTGAATTCTTGTCTGCTGGTGCCAAGAGTGTTGACTGTGGATCCAAGCAAGTTGAACTTGTTAACCACCTCAATCTCTTTTCCATCTATCATGGCGCTGCCAATTTGACCCACTGATGAGACTGTCTTTTTCATGTTGAGCTCAATCCATACTGAAGATTCTTTATTCTATTCCACTAGTTTGCTCTGTCACTACCAATACTGTGCTATTTTGGTTACTATGGCTGTGAGGCTGGTTTTGAGATTAGAATGCTATACCTCTTACATCACCTTTATTTTTCAGAAGAGCTTTGCTTATTCAGGATCTCTTTCCTTTCCAACCAAACCTGTCAATTGCCTTTTCTATCTCTTTGAATGATGAGTTAAGTAACTGTATTGGGTTTGCACTGAACCTGTAGTTTGCTTTTGACAGGACTCTCATGTTCGCTTTATCTTCCTATCCATGAATAGGGGGTATTTTTCCTTTTAATTAGATCTCTTACTGTTTCTTGTAGTGTTTTACAGTTTTCCTTAGGTCATCTGTGTCTCTAATTAGATTTATTCCTAAGTATTTCATCTTGCAGTTGGCTACAAGTAGCATTGATTTTTTTAGTTTCCTTGTTGTACAGAGAAGTAACACTTATTTTTGTATCCTGACCCTGTATTCTACTACCCTACCCGTTTAACCACCTCTGCCTTTTTGGATGCCTCTTATTTCCTTGTCTTATTGACCTACCATGTACTTGCAATACAAAACTGAATAGGAGTGGTGACAATGGACATCCTTGTCTGGTCCCTGCATACAAAAGGAACACCTCTAGTCTTTCTCCATTGAGAATAACGCTGGTTCTTGCTTTTGCATATATACTTTTCACTATGTTGAGTAAATTATCTTCTATTTTTGTTTAGCTGAATGTTTTGATCAGGAAGGGTGTCAGACTTTATCAAAGGCCTTTTCTGCATTAATTTTTAGGTTCATGTGTTTCTTTGTTAATATAATGAATTATGTTGTTTTTCTTACATAAAACCATCCTTACCTACCTGTTAAAAATCTCATTTAGTCATGATGAATTATTTTGAGGATATACTGCTGAGTTCTGTTTACCTGCATTTTGGCATCTATATTCCTGAGAGATACTGGTATATAGATCTCCTTTTTGATAGTCTTTGCCTAGTTTTGGTATTAGGGTTATGCTTGCTTCACAGAATGACTCTGGGGGTGTTCCTTCTTTTTCTAATTTTGAAATAATTTAAGTAGACTTGGTGATAGTTTGTCTCTGAGTATCTGATAGAATTCAGTCATGATGACATCTGGGCCAGGACTTTTTTGGATGGGGGACTTTTAAATACTTGCTCAGTTTCTTTTGTTCCAGAGTTCTACATCTGTCTGTGTTATCTGAGTAGGGGATGGCTTTCCAGTAATTTGTCTATGTGCTCTAGGTTCTCAAATGTATCAGCGTATAGCTTTTCATAATAATAATAATATTGTTAGTATTAATTTTAGCTGGTTCTGCTGTGATGTCTCTTATTGCTTATTTGCATCTGTGTCATCTTTTCTTTTGTTAAATTTGCTAATGGTTTATTTATTTTACTGACCCTTTTGAAGAACCAGCTCCAGATCTTGTTGATGGATTCAATTGTTTTTATTTTCAATCCCACTGCCATAAGCCCTCATCCTTAAAATTTCCTTTTTTCTAGAAGATGTGGGATTAGCTTGTTATTATTTTCCTATTTGATGTAGGTATTCTTAATTTGGCTCCTTTTTTCTCTTCTTGTGCTTGCCTACTATTACTAACTGTCTCCTGAGGACTGCATTAGCTGTATCCCCAGGGTTTTGGTATGTTTTATTTTTTGAAGAATTTTTTTATAGTCCTCAAGGAGGGTGTTATTTATCTCTGACCTGGGTAATTTTTATCCTCTATCCTCTGGTTATTAATTAAAAGTTTTATGGCATTGTGCTCTAAAAAGATACTCTGTATTATTTCAATGTTTTCAAGTCATTCAGGCTCACTTCCTGTCCTATATATGTCTAATTCATACTACCTGCACTTGAGAATAAACTGAGTTTTAGTTGGGCGAAGTACTCTGAATACATCTATGAGGTAGAACTGGCTAACTGTAGAGTTTAGTTCTTGTGCATCTTTGCTAAGTTTCTTTAAAATTGACCTATCTTATGTTGAGAGTGGTGTGTTAAAGTCTCCTACCACTATCATATAGTGTCTCTTTCTTTCATTGACTCTGTTAACCAATGGTTTATATATTTTATATATCATTTGGTGCTCAGATGCTGACTAAGGAAATGGCAAGCTTACTCTATCTCCCTCCAGCCTACCTACTAATGCTCTGTTAATCAAATTTTAAGCATGACCCTCAGTCAGAGCTTCTGGTCAACACCCAATTTCCTAATTACAACTTCACTGAAATGACAGATTTAAAAAACCTAGGAAGTTACAGCCAATTAATGCTAATATTTTCTCAAAATGTTCCATCTCCCCGCAGAGGACTGATTTCCTGAAAACAGGAAATCTAGATAGTGTAGGTTAGAAAAGTTTCAGTACCCATACTTGACAATCTTTTCACTCAGAGAGACTAAAAACCCAAGAAAAGATACATCAGCATCCACATAAGATTGTAACAAGCGGATTTCTCCTTGTGAATGACATTCATACAAGGTAACCTAATGAAACAGAAACAAGAGTAAATTTTAAAAATTAATATAAAAATACACTCTCTTCAACTATTTTAATTAGTTATATTTTTAAGATATGACAGAAAAATTATCTTAAAAAATGATTATTATACCTTTGATTTAACTTATTAGAAAATCTAATACCAGTATTTATAATGAAAAGGAATGTGAACTTATATTATAGCCATTATAACAAGTAGAGGAAGTCATGATTAATTTTATATCCATAATTTCAACGAAACAAAAAAAAATTACATTTTTCTTAAAGAACAAAATAGACACAAGATTTAGAAAATCTGGAGTTCTACGTCTATATATTATTTGAAACATTATCTTTTAAAATATTGCTAAAAATGTTAACGTTTTGTTTAGAATGTTTATGTCTATGTCCACATCCCTTGACATGAGAACAGTGAGCTGTTCTTTTAGCCTACATTCTGAACAAAGAAGAGCTACATTATTCTCACAGCCTAGAACTCAGCTGCAGCTAATCACAGCTAACATGTAACATGAGAATACAATTTCTGGTTTTGAGCCAAAGGGATTTGGAGACTTTTTCCACATCATACTATAGAAAAATCTGACACAAAGTATTCTCTGCTATCTGAAACAGTTTATATAAGGTAGAGTTTATTTACACAGCAAAACAAGTGAAAACAAAAAGAAGGGATAGGTCATAGCAAAAAGAGAAACTAGCTGACTCAAAAAATTTTATGTATAATATAATACACAAAGTAATTAATGGCTTGTGTATCTAACTTTTAAAAAGTGGTACATCCTATCAGTACACATCAAAGTGAATAAAGCTGAAGACCACAAAGAAAAATATAACCAGCTGTGGTTTTAATCTTTTAAGTAAAATTTAATCAAGTCTTTGGGTAGGCTTTTTCACAATTTACATTGAAATTAAACCTAATGCATCCCTCTGCATGTCAAAATCGAGAAAGGAGCGTGTCAGGGATGCATCCTGTTCCCATACCTTTCAATCTGTATGTTGAACAGCTCATTTGGGAGGCAAGGCTTTAGGAGGAGGAGTGTAGCATCAAGATTGAAGGGGCAATGATTAACAACCTATGATATGCAGATGACACAACCTTGCTTGCTGAAACTGAAGAAGACCTGAAGCACTTGCTGCAAAAGGTCAAGGACTGTAGTCTACAATATGGACTAAAGCTCAACATTAAGAAGATAAAGATTCTCACCACTGGGCTAATTGGCAATACCATAATAGAAGGAGAAGAGATTGAGGTTTTTAGCAATTAGAGCTTGTTTGGATCAACACTCTGTTACTAAAATTTAGTAAAAGTACATTAAGAAGAGTTTGAAAATCCTCTAGTTTATCTGTCACTACCTTTCAACTCATGTATTAATTCTTTGTACAGTAATATTCTAAAAAAATATTCCTTAGACAGCTTCTAATGGGTTATAACTAAAGAGATTAGGTGGCATTGAGTAGAGTATGATTTACAGCAACCCTATGAACAAAAGATCTGTGCTACTGTCATCAACGGTCATATACTTGAGCCCACTGCTGCAGTCACTGGGTCAGTCTATCTGGTTAAGGGTCTTGCTCTCTCACTGACTCTCCACCTTTCCTAGCATGATGTCCCTTTCTAGGGGATGGCCTCTCATAATATGTCCAAAGCATGTAAGACCAAGTTTCACCATCCTTGCCTTTAAGGAGCCCTCTAGTTGCACTTTCTCTAAGTTATTTATTCTTCTGGCAATCCGTGGGATATTCAATACTCTTCTTCAACACAATTCAAAAGCAATTATTCTTCCGTAACTGTCCAATTTTCGGGTGAAAGTAATTAAAAAGACCATGACTTGAATCAGATGCACCTTAGTCTTTAAACTGTTAGCATTGCCCTTCAGAACTCTGCAGAGGTTCTTGACAGCAGAATTTCCTGATGGAATTCATCATCTGATTTCTTGACTGCTGATACCAAAGACACTGATTGAGGATCCAAATATAATTTTAGTCTCTTCTCTATTATGACTGGCATATGTGGACCAGTGGTGAAGATTTTTGTTTTACTCATGTTGAGATGCAATCCACATTGAAGGCTGTAGTCTTTGATATTCTGCAGCACATGTTGGTAATACCATGGCAAAATTAATCAAGTAATTTGCAATCGCTTGTTATGCGTCAGAGAGTTGTACAATGACTAGGGAGGATGGAAGAATAGATGTCTTTGAGCTGTGGTCCTGGAGAAGAGTATTGAGTGTACCATGGACTGCTAAGAAAACAAACAAATTCATCCTGGAGAGGGCTAAACCAGGCTGCTCCCTGGAGGCAAGAATTCTGAGGCTTCGTCTGACATACTTTGGACATGTTGCAAGGAGGGACCGGTCCTTGGAGAGGGATATCATGCTTGGGAGGGTGGAGGACAGTGCAGGAGGGGAAGACCCTCTATGAGGTGGATTGATTCAGTGACTGGGATCATCGGGGTGGGTGTGTTGAAGGCAGTGGGAGAGGCACAAGATAGAGCAGGGTTTAGGGATGTTATACATAGGGTCACTATGAGTTGCAAGCAGCTTGATGGCACATAACAACAACAAATTCATAACACTATTGAAGATTTATAAAAATTTATTTAAGTCCTGGTAGTTGATTATGTTTCAAAGTAAGAAAAATAAACCTTTAATCTGTACTTCAAACTATATCATGTTTTCTCTCAACTGTTGTTATAAAAAATTTTACTAAACTGTATCGTTGTTATGTGCTATCAAGTTGAGTAAGACTGACTGTGACCCTGAACAGAGGATCCGAACTCTGCCCTATCATGCACCACCTTCATCATCTCTAACATACTTGAGCTCACTAATGCTGTCACTATGTCAATCCATCTTTTTGAAGGTCTCCCTCTTTTTCACAGACCCTCTACCTTTCTTTTAGCATCATGTCTCTTTCCATGGAATAGCCTCTCCCAGAAACAATGTCCAAAGTATGCGAGACAAAACTTTACTATCCTTGCCTCCAGGGAGCACTCTGGTTGCACTTTCTCCATGACTTAACTGGTCTTTTGGCAGTCGATGGGATATTCAGTACTCTTGTCCAATACCACAACTCAAACACATCAATTCTTCTTTACTCATCCTTATTAATTATCCAGCTCTCAGCTGCTTAGCAAGTGACAGAAAAGACAATGGCTGAATCAGGCCCACTTTTGTCTTCAACCTTTTATCACTGCTCTTCAATACTTTGGATAGACCCCTGACAGCAGACTTCCTCAGTGTGATACATCTTCTGACTTCCTGGGTACTAGTGCCAAGGGTATCCAAGCAAGATGAAATAGTTGAGAATTTCAGTCTTTTCTACCTAAATCATGATGCTCTCGTCCCAGTGGTAAGGATTTTTGTCTTCTTGTTGTTGAGATGTAACCCATATTAAAGTCTGTGGTCTCTGATCTTCTGGAATAGCATTACAAGCCCTCACTTTCAGCAAGCAAGGTTGTGTCATCTACATAAAGCCAATGTTATGAACCTTCCTCTTATCCTATTCTTCATAGAGACTAGCTTCGCAAATGACTTGCTCAGCATATTGACTGAATAGGTATGGAGGAAGGATAAAGTCCTGACGTAAACCTTTCCTAATTTTAAATTATGTAGTGCTCTTCTGCTTTTCAGCCAGTAGTTTCTTGGGCTAGTGATAGGACTCATGTGAGCATTATCAAAGGTCTTGAGATACCCAAATCTTCTTAATGTCAACCACAGTCTGTTATAATACATAATCAGATGCCTTTGCACAGTCAATAAAACACAAAGAGACATTCTAGTATTTTCTACTTTCTGCCAAGATCCATTTGACCTGGGTGTGGAACTTTAACTATAAGCAGACTATTTAACACAGCCTCTCTGGCTGAAGACCAAAAAAATGCTATTATTCTGTGTTACCAACTGCAGTGGCATTTTACTATTTCAAAATTTTAATGACTCTCAAACAGCGACTTGTAAAACTTCCTTAAAGAGTTTCAAGGAAGAAAATCTAATGCTAAACTGTCTGTCCTTGTTTTTTTCCAAATGGTAGCAATTAAAATGACTGAAGAATTCAGATGTACACCCTCACTCCTGTACCCTAGGCAGTGATACAGGAACTATCTGTATTTATTATCAATCTATTACCAACTAATCTATTAGTTGATAGTGTATCATTTACAGACAACTAGAATATTAGCTAATAAAGACTTTAAACAACTCTCTCTGAAGTGTTGTCATTAGGTGCTGAGTGGTCTATGTTTATGACAGTGGTTCCCTAGAAAATATTAAGGAAACTTCTCATTCATTATTCTGAATAAATATTGTAACTAAACAATTCACCTTCTAACTATAAATACAAAGTTAAATAGCTTAATCTGTCAGAATGGTTCTTCCCAATATACAACTGGCTTCTTTTTCTCTTTAAACAACAAATTCAAACAAATGTTTATTGAAAATTATTAGATTTGTGTTTTGAATTTATAGTCACAAATTACATTCATTGATTAGCTCTACTGGCTTAGCAGTAGAGTTGAACTGCCCATCCAAAGGTATGCAGTTCAACTCAACCAGCAGCTCTGCAGGAGAAAGATGGGCAATCTCCTCTTAAGTCAACTATGTGTCAGTTCCAATTCCACAACACATAATAAGAGTTACATTTATTAGGGACCTCATGTGGTCAACTAGATAAGCAGTTGTGCTGCTGATCCGAAACTAGGATGTTCAAATCCACCAGGTACTCCATGGAGAAAACATGGACAAGCTCCTCCCATTCAATTTACAGACTCTGAAAACCAATAGAGAGTTAGCTCTAATTTGACAGCACATAACAACAAAAAAATAACACCAGCAAGCCTTAGAAACCCAATGGAGGGTCAGCTATGAGACTATGAGTCTGTTTCAAAACCAATGGAGGGTCAACTGTGAGGCTGCTCCAACACAGCAGTAATGAGCAATTGAGTGTATATGCAATAGAAATTTGGTCAGTTATGACTTAGTTTTATGTAAACAATTTCTTAACCCTTCACTTTTACAAAGGAAACAAAAAAATACATGTTCAAATCAGAGACAATTTACTTCAAAATCATTTCAAGTGTTTAGAAGAATAAAAAAAGAAAATTAATTTCATATAATCATAATATTTTGGTAGTGTCAGACTCTAATGAGACCAAACAGACTTCTTAACACTCACCCTGTTGCTGCCTACAGTTGCAAACACTAATGGGTCTCCTTCTTTACTGTGCCAGTTAAATTGAACTCCAAATAATGGTTGGTTATGATCTTCCTAGACAACAATCAGGAAAAAAGCATTAAGTCTTTTACAAACTAAAAAAGGAACAATTATCATTCCTCTTACAATGTTTTTCCAAAAGATAAGACATTATGTTTACTGTTCATAAACTGATTCTAGACACAAAAATGAAAGGTATTTATAAGTCCAGACCTTGTTTATCATAAGGTTTTGTGATACAAAATGTCTGGTGTATCACAAAGGTTTTTTTATAACAACCAAAAATTTGAATCACAGATTTGCTAACAATTACTTATTCATGAAAATATATTTGTATTTTTTTCTTGTTTAAAAATAACATTAGTTTTCTGAGTCATTATAAACTGACATCATAAACGTATTCATAAACTGAGTAAGTTAAGTAGATGCACTGAACATTTTAGGCCACAGGTCACAATTTATTTTTCACAAACAGGAAATTGACAAATAATCATTGAATCAAAAGAGTTTCTTCTTAGCATTCACTTAAGTTTATTAGGATTAATTGGTTTCCTGTAACATGAAGCATATCAGATTCCACTCAAATTGTTGCTCTACATTAATCCAGGATAAAGAACTTAAAATACCCTAACATTTAGATTGTAAAGAAAAATATCTCCACTATCACCTCTTTTATTCAATATTGTTTTGGAAGTCTTAGCAATAAGACAAGAGAAGGGAATAAAAGGTATCCAAATAGGCAACGAGGAGGT